TGAAATCCATGAATAATAGTGCACCATATGTCTACTATATTAGGTATATCCAAAAATCTTAACTGGGAAATCAACAGTATCTTTCAACATTCTTAGTATAGTACAAGAAGGAAATTACTGGAAAGTAATTGAAACTCACCTGAAGCGAGCTGAATGTGTAATGCTCCTCATGCCAATGACACTTCCACCGAGCTTCACTACGGCTTTAGTGAAGCTCAGTGGAAGTATAGTACATATTTTAGTATTATCTGTTTTTCCCTATCCTTGGTAGAAGGGATGGTCTTAGAACCTATCTGTCACTAATAATGAGCTCCTACTCTATAATAATAATGATAGTAATACTCCTGCAGCCAAGCCGTCCACAAATGTAATGCCCTGTATTCCTTTGGATCTTGTATGTACAGCCGAGATGGGCGGTATGCACAGCCTATATATATATATCATCACCCAGGCCTGCACCATGGTGAGGTCACTCCAATTTCACCAGCAAAGGACTTAATTTTGACCAAACAGGGCACTACTTTTTTTCTCTCAAGGTAAACAGACGTTTACTACTACTTGTGCACAAGAGCAACCATGAATGGATCCTGATAGACATTGGGAGAAAAACATCATGAATGTGGAACAGGCAAAAAATACAGAGATACAAAGACCTGGCAGGGAAAATTAGAGAATAGATCAAGCATGCAACTCCATACTCGAGAATCAGAAATACAAATAAGTTAACAAGGAAAAAAGTTCTAAATACAGATTTTAAGTTTCTATCTGAATTGTATACTTTTGCCAATTCTGACATAAGCTTTTAATCATACAGTTTTCTGGAGGTTGTCTTGTAATTTGGTAATGTGTTTTGATCAGAATGTTTCAAATGTACCTTGAAGTAACAAAACAAAGCATCTCCACAGGAATGTTGTCCTTGTGAAGTATTTTTTGTTCTTTCAAAAACATGTTGTACTGTTATTACTTATTTAACTATTATATACTCATCTAATACACAAATCAGTATATAACAATATAGATTGGTACAAATGGTGATGAGGGTGGTGATACTAGTACTATTAGAACAACAAGCAAAGAATATCTGCACAAACCAGAATCTGTATTCTTTTCCTTCTTTTATGTGCTGTGTCCCTTCAGAACGTAGGCGATCATGGCTCTCCACTTCCTCCTATCCCTTGTAGTTCTCAATATGTCTTGTCCTTTTGCTACTTCTCCCAAACCCTATTCTATCATCCACTTGATTAAGCCCACTAGATATGTCGCACATTGCATTCCCTTGTCTCTCTTTTCCTCCATCCGCCCTGTGAGTATCAGATTCTCCAAGCCCTCCTCATTATGTGTCCCAGAAATTTCAGCTGCCTCTCCCTGATGTTAAGTATAAGCTTCCTCCTTGTTCGCATCCTCTCCAAAACTTCATCATTGCTCACATGTTCGGTCTATGGTATCTTTACCATCCTTCTGTAGAGCCATACCTCCTTTGCCTCAAGTCTCTTTTTCATCTTTGAGGAGACTGTCCAACATTCACTGCTCTAAAGGAGGACAGATATCACCTACCAGTTCAGTACTCTTTTCTTTGTTACCAACAAAATCTTCCTGTCTCATAATACTCTACCTAGCTTTTGGAATGCGTCTTTGGCCATCCCAATACATCTTCCAATCTCAGCATCGCAATTACCATCCTCTGTCAGAACATTTCCTAGATATTTAAATTTCTGCACCTGCTTGATTTTAATATCCCTGACCTGTAAATCACATTTCAGGCTCATCCTTTTAATAATAACCATGCATTCTGTCTTCTTGTAAGTTTATGCATAGTCCCTTCTTCTCACTCTCCTTCACTACCTTCTGTAGGAGGTTTTGTAATTTCCTTTCTGTGTCTACTATCAGCACTGTGTCATATGTGTATCTTATATTGTTAAGATTGTGGCTACCAATGATGAATCCTGTATAGGTTGAATAAGTCTGAGTTTGGTGAGAAGACACATCCTTGCCTTATGTTTATTTTTATTTTTCTATATATGCCGAACTTGTTTTCTATTTGTATACAGGCCTTTGCATCATCTATAAAACATAGGTGCATGTACTTCTGCATTTGCATTGCTCTTTCTGATGACATTCTGAACATGAATATTGCATTTCTTGTTCTGGTGTCTTTAACAAACACTGTCTCTCACCTGATTCTACTGCATGCTCTTTTCATCAGAATACGGATGATAAGTTGTTTTTTTTATGTGTCTCATTAGGCTGATTTTTCGAGAGAATCAAAAACATAAAATTCTTAGAGACACAGAGGCTAAGTGCAGGCCAGATGACTAGATCAAAGTCATTATCAGTGGATGTTACTGTTCCAGCTAAAATGAAAATTTGGCTGAATCCCTTGTCCTTACAATAGAACTGAAGAAATTATGGAACCTGGAAATGACAGTTGTGCCCAGTTGTCCAAGTTCTTGACACTCAACCAAATAGCTTATCAAAAAAAGGTTGAAGGAACAAGAAATGATTGAGACCATTCAGGCAAGTGCCTTGCTGAAAACAACTGCATAATATTGAGGAGGCTTGCTTTCACATCATCATCATCATCAAGTAGTAGTAATTGCTACAAAGATAATAATTTAATGAGTATCATTGTTGTGAGAAGATATAAGATGATCAAAAACCCAATGCATTCCTTGATTGTAAATCAAATTCATTCCAAGTAATTTTTCTTTCAACTTCTAAGTTTTTGTTCTAAAAAATCATTTTCATTGTTTCAGATAGTTTGTTGCAGATTAATCAAAAGTATTTTAGAATCCCTCATTAAAATTCGAAGAACAATTAACATTCTTGACCAATCCAGTGACAATGATAATTGTGCTGTTGGCTTTTGATTTTAATTCATTATTGAGTACAATGCTTTTATATTAATTTTAAGATGATTAAAAGAAAATCCTTATCTTAATCTGCAAACAAAATATTTCACAAGTTTAACTTCCTTGTAAAGTAAATAAAATGTTTTACAAACCAAAAAATAATGCCACAGGTTTGTCATTTTTCTAAGGAATAAAATATATTCATCAACTTTATGCAATGCAAAACAGATATTCAAAAATATAGATAAATTTATTGGGATGAATTTTGTAAGATGAGATGTTGTAATCATTGGCTGTAATCAGGGACTGTCAGATTGCATTGTAAGTAGTAAACTGGGATACATTTAAAAGACATGGCTACTAAATATTGAAGTGACTTCTTTGTAATAGTTTAGCTCTACTTATTTTAAATGTAACCCCCAAAAATCATGCATAGTGAAATTCAAAATTTATTGACTCTGAGCTTTCCAAAGTAACCCAATCTGACCACTCTGGCAAAGCCGGATTATCCTTGCGGCTAACATAAGCTGCAGCCTAGGGAGCCTCAAGCTTTTATAAAGCAATGATTTTAATCTTCTAGATGTTATAACATCTAAATAGTTTCATAAACTGGAATAATATCAGTATTATAAATGCATATCTATTTGACTTTGTGGGAAGCAAAGCCAGGAAAAGAATGTTTTAGTTTGTGTCATTGTGTTTCAAGTAGATGACATGTTTGATTTTAGTTCAAAATGTTTAAATCTTAGAAATTTTTATAAAACACTGATTTTAATTTTCTAGATGTTATAACATCCAAAGAGTTTCAAAAACTAATGATATCAATATGACAAACTCATTTGTTTTCTTTTTTTAAATCATTTCACCTCAAGCAAGGCAGGAATGTCACTAGCATGCAGTAGGTTACAGGGAGTAAAAGTGAAAGAGAAGACTAGGAAGGATTGAGGAAAGGTCAAAAGTTGAATTAGATTTAAGAAAACAGAATATGCCAGTTGATGTTGTATTTAAATTTTTGAAGATTGTAATTATCAAAGAAGCAAGTAAATGGAATGGGGTTCCACAGGAGAGAAGTGTGAGAAAAGAAACTGTTGGAGTAGAAGTGGTAGTTTCATTTAGCTATTGCAACAGTAAAAGGGTGGGACCTAGATGCCAATCTAGTAGCACACTTAAATCCATGTAGTCAAGATTTCAGGGATGGTTTTATTGTTATAATACTGGTTATAAAATTTTTTTTATTATGGTTGTGTTGAAATATGTAATAATTGGGATTGCAATAATAGTAAAATATTGGTATTTCTTAAACAATATTTTTATTGACAAACAAAAGACAGCCATTCTAGTTTATTTAAAGAATTTGCAATAAGTTTACTTTAAGCTATGTAAATGTTGCTAAAATATATCACAAGTAAAAAAAATGTGCATGGGCAAATTAGAGGGTAGCACTGTCTGAGGAGAGGCCCCATAATTTTATTAGCTGAGGAGCCCCAAAAGGTCATAATCTGGTCCTGCACTCTGGTATATGGGTTAAAAAAATTATGAACAAAATACAAAGAAATTAGTTTAAAACAACCCATATACTGTATTTACATTATTCGGACTATTGTCCTCATCTTTGTCGCCATATTTATCACAACGTTTCAGCCGTTGTACGCTCCGGCCTTCTTCAGGTGGTTAGAATGTCGAACTGAACCCTTTATTATGGGGTAGACTGTTCTAGTTCCATGTGCCATGTTTGATGGATGTCAGCTATCAGTTATCTCCTGTTAATTTTCCCTCTGAAAGTTCTCCACTGCCTTAACCGGGTATCGAACTTACACTCTTTGGGTCTTGTCACTGGATCTAACCAATGTCTTTATCCACTGTGCCATGTGTCCTTGAGGACCACTCCCTTTATTGATTTCACACTTTGTGACATTTCAAATGATTTTTTTTGCACTACCTCCACGTTTTATTAATACTCCTCAATTTACTGAATAGTTACAAAAACATCCTGATTCTGCCCAATTTTTAACACTCCCTCTCCTGTATTATACACTTCAGATTAATGATTTGACATTTTTCTAAGATGAGAGTAATTGTTCTTCTTTAAAACTTGTTATACAAATCAATGAAACTATTAGTAAAATAAATCTTATTTGAATTTCTTTTCAGATGTCAGTTTGATTTTGTTGACATTTTTGGAGTGGACCACATGGGCTTCAAGACATTGATGAATCGATTCTGTGGAGCTGAAATGCCCCCTCCCATCATATCAATTCAACCAAAAGTAGAAATGTTTTTTAAATCTGATTATACCAAAAGTCTGCGAGGATTCCTTGGACACTATGAATTTCTAAATGATGGTAAGTGATCATCTTTTCACTATTTCTTTTCTATACTGTATCCCTTCAGGGCATAGGCATTCATGACTCTCCACTAATTTATTTATTTTATAGCTATCCTTCCCACTCCTTGTTATGCCATCCAAGCTTGGTAGGTAGAGTATTTGTTTTCCTCATTATATCCTGTGAGTCTCATATTCTCAAAGTCCTTTTTTTGCATTATGTAGCCTAGTAACTTCAACTGCCACTTAGTAAATTTCACTATCTACCCTGCTTAATTCCATTTTCATGACTATCTGTTACCTCAAGTAACAGTTATTTCTATGTTATTCCATCTGACTTATATAGATACAAATCTCTAATCTCTTATCTAGATTCCCACAAAGTATGCGAACCTGATGGTATCCCTGTAATAGTCCTTAAGAAATGTGCTCCCGAACTGGCTCCTGTTCTCTCTAAACTCTACAATAAATGCCTTACTGCCTCTTGCTTTCCTGCTTGTGAGAAACCTTCTTCTGTAGTTCCAGTTGTTAAGAATACAGGTGAACTGTCTGATCCTACTATTGGCCTATTACCCTCTCCTAGAGGCCCTAATTAACTCTGGATTGGTTAAGCATTTCCCATTGCTGGGCCTTCTTTCAGGATGAATTTCTTAACTGATTCAGTCTTATAAAATCACAAGACAAAAGTTATCCTGAATGGCCACTTATGTAGATCTTTTTGTACTAATGCAGGTGTCTCCATCAGGACTCTATCCTTGGACCTGCTTTGTTCTTAATTTTCATCAATGAACTTCCTGATGACATCAGTTCTCAACTAGGTATCTATGCTGATGACACAACCATTTACTCCTGTCTCGATAATAAGTCTGACCAGTTCGATAAGGTCAAATTAACAGCTAAATGACCTACAATCTGTTGTTAACTGGGACAAGGAATGGCTTCTTAATTTTAATGCTTCCAACACAAAACTTCTCTCTGTTAATTATCTGAAAGACCCCTTTCTGCCTCCCATCAGTATGGCTGATGCTAACCTCCAGGAGAGTGACATTGCACCTTCTTGAGCTAACATTATCTACTGACATGAAGTGGAAAGATTATATTGAATCAATTGCAAGGTTTGCCACTAAAAAAGTTGGTTTACTGTATTGTGTTAAACAATTTTTCTCACCAGAATCTATCTTACATATTTAAAATTCCATGCTTTGAATATTTCTGCCACATAAAGTCCCATACCCTTGCTATATATTTAGAGTTTTTTTGATAAAATCCAAAAAGAATTAGTAATATTAATGATCCTGACATCTCAGCTTCAGTCATTTTCCTACTGCCATAATGTAGCTTCTCTGAGCCTTTTTCTACAAATACGTTCATGCTAACTGTTCAGATGAACTTTCTGCTATAGTACCTAGACTTTATGAATTTAAGTGCAGTACTAGATTGGCAACAAGGTCTCATCAATTTGCAATGGAATTGGCTAGATACAATAAGTTCTATGCTAACAGTTTCTTTTCTTACACTTCTTACTTGTGGAACTCCCTTTCTGGCTTCATGCTTTCCAGCCATCTTTGATCTTCAAAGATTTAAATGCAATATCAATCATTATCTTCTGTCTTCTTGATTTCTCTTCTTTTACTGTTCTTGCTCCTTTATAATGTCTCACTTTTTCTTATTCTCTCACATTCAGTAACCACTTGTGCCTTAGTGGCTTTACTGCTTTGCATGGGGGCAGATGGATGATTAAAAATTATTTATTGTCTACTAGGGCTTCTCAGTGTGGCCTTTCCAATGCATTATATGAAAATAAAACCAGTATTATACAAAATTCATGATGAATAATATTCATAACAATTTAATTTTTTGTTACTATTTAACAATATCAACCCTTAAAACATTTCAATTGTTAAATCTGGAATTCTGACTGAATTGTTGAAAAAACCTATGTGATGTAAGTGCAATTGATATATCTCAAAAGCTGTTTAAAATCAAGTATTACAAGTTGATTTCAGATTTTTCAGTGCACCCATGTTGCAACCAAATGTGACACAAGGTCAAAGTCTAAAATAGGTTTACCAGCACTACCATGGGAAAAAAATACAAGTTGATTTTATATGAGAGTAAATTCATTTCTTTCAAATGATATTCAATTTAATCTCTTTGGTAGCATTTATTATGAGATATGATTTTGGAAATCTGCAACTTTGATGACGTTTTAAATTACAGGTACCTCTAGATTTCAAGCATGTTCAGGTACTCCTGAATTGTAAGCAAATAAAACTTGCAGGTGGTTTTGAATACTTCTTGCTTTAAAGGGTTAAATAAATATATTAGCTGGGTTTTCTATCAAAATAACTTCATTAATTACAGCTGCTAATGAGATTATAAAATAAAATAAATAATTTATTAATAAATTTAAAAAATAATCCTTTATTAAATGAAAGATATGGAATATTCTACAATCCATTAATTCATTCATTAACTTTGCCACTGTTTATTTAAGAACTGATTGAATGACATTGGGATTAAATTATGGTTCTCTTTTACTGTTTTCTAATGCTGTTACATACACATTAATTTACAAATATCTTTGTTCACATAAAGAGTAGAAAAATAAATTGCTTATCAAAACCTTCTTGAAATATGCTGAATCAAAATATATAGTTTTAAAGATTCAAATACTGTAGTTTGGGAGTTTAAGCTTGACATACAAATAGACAGATGAATGCCTTTATTATAAAATAGATATAGAATTTTATAATCATTATAAAAAAAGATAATATCTAAATGCTTCTATGTGCCAAATTCTTTCAAGACTTGTGCAATCATGGCTCTTCAAAACTTCCTATCTCTTGTGACCCTAAGCAGTTTTTCACTTTTTCAAAGGCTCCCAACCTCTGTTCTGCCATCCAAATCACATAAGCTTCTCAAGTACCTCTCTAGCCCACAATATGCCTTGAGAGGGTTTTTCAAGCCCTCTTTCCTCATTATTTATCCTAGGGATTTCAGCTATCTCTTCCTGATTTTGAACATAAGTGTTTGTTTTTTTTGCCATTTTCTTTAAGATTTCCTTTTTGCTTACTCATTCCATCAAAGGAATTCTCAATATCCTTTTCTAGAAGCACATTTCAAGTTTTCTCCTCATCCATGTATGGGGGAATACTCCAGATTGAAATTAGGCATATATACATTGTGTTTATTGTGAAGTCTGTAATGGCTAATAGTTTCACATTGTAAATATTTTAACTAAAAGTTCCCATCTAGTACCATCATTTTAGTAAGTACTATTTCTTTAACATTGCATTTATCATAATTTGAAAACCTCAAACTGTGACAGTTTTCAATTTTTATATTAGCTTTAGTTTTCTTAAATAATTAAGTGTTTTCATAACACAACAACTGGTAAAACTTAGGACTGATAAACACACACACAACAAAACAAATAAATACTGATTGTTTATATAACTGGGACAAACCCTTGAAACTAAAAATAGGATATATTGTTTGCCAATTTTATATTGAAAATGGAATTTTTTTTTAATCATTTCACCCCAAGGAAGATATGAATGCCACTAGTATACAGGTGTAACTGAAAGTGAAAATGAGAAAAGAGACTGAGTATAGGGAGGATTGAGGAAAGGGCAAAATATGAACAGAATTCAAGAAGATAGAAGATGGTGATTGATGTTACATTTAAATTTTTGAAGATTGTAGTTATCAGGAAAGCAAGGTGTTCCACAAGTGGGAAGTGTGAGAGAAGAAACTGTTGGAGTAGAAGTAGAAATCAGGGCACCAGGGATAAAAAAGATCATCAGAGCTGTTGCCATGAAAATATTTGTAGAAAAGACAGAGGGAAGCCACATCATGTTGTTGAGAAAGTGACTGAAGTCAAGATGTAAAGTCAGGATCAGTTACATTGCAGATCCCTCTTTGGATTTTGTCAAGAATCTCGAGATGAATAACAGGAGAACCAAACTGGATATGGCAACAGTATTCAGTGCATGGGCAAATGGTAGATTTTTAAATGTGCAAGATGGACTCTGACATGAAAAATTTTGCTTGCAGTAGATGCAGCTATTGATTCAGTGTAATCACCCAACTTTGTCAGTTGAAAATGTGAGGTTAAGAAAGTGCAGTATGTTACTCTCCAGGAGTCTAGCATCTGCCATGCTGATGGCAGGCAGAAAAGTTTCTCTATAATGGCTAAATGAGAACAAGCAAGCCAAATTCAAATTCCAGTCAATGGTTTTTTAGCCACTTAGTGTACTATTATCATTGGAAAAAGCTGTTGCCCAGTTATTGGTAAAATAGTAGAGTGCCCTTTTTATCTTTGAACTGATTATGAAACAAAATTCCACTACCTGAGTATAGATATTAAGCTTACAGCTCCAAAATGTCACCATTAGATTTTGTTATTTTTCAAGGCATTACAATATAAGTACTGTATGTATTCAATGTGTGCAAAAATGTTTTTCCTTAAAAATAAATTACTCAGAAGTTTTGCACATACATAATGTATGAAGTGTAAATCAAGTGCCTTGTTTTTCAAACTATTAGGTTGTCATACATGAAATGACACATTTTTTTGGTTGGTTGTTGATCTGGTCAACCTCTTTAGTATATAAAAAAAAATCTTGACTTATTCTTGACTCTTTTTCTTTCAATATATTCTTACTCATAAGTCCAATGAAAATGAAAGAATGTCAAGTAATCTTATTCTATGAGTACAAACTGGGGGAAAAAATCTTTTTGCATCAAATCATTATATGCAATGAGTAATGGATATTCTTTGACAATAGTAGAAAGTAGGCCAGTAGTTAGATGCAAGTGAATCACCAAAACAATGACTAAAACCTCCACTACAGCCTACAAAGTTAAAGGTTACTGTATGGTTGTCTTTCAAAGGGTTTATTCATTATTCATTCTTTCCTGAAGAGAAATAATAACTGTAACCTCATAGTGTAGAGAAATTATGTCCCTGCATCCTAGTGGCTTCACGCCTTGCTTGGGGCGTAATGCTTAAAAAAAAAAAAAAAAATTAAAAATTGAAAAAGAAACATCCTAGACTTGGGAATAGGGATGGCCCAAATTTGCTGCATGACAATGCATGGCTGCATAGTTTGAATTATGAAATTTTGCCTCATCCTCCATATTCACCTGATATTTCTCCTACTAATTATCACTCACTTAAGTATTTTGAGTTTTTCATACACACTAAAAGATTCTTGAATAAGGAAGTGGTAATCAAAGCATTGGAACTGTTTATCACATCAAAGGATAAGAATTTTTAAAAGCTGGGATCAAAAATTTAGAGGTACATTGGAGAAAAGTCATTCATCAACATGGTGCCTATTGTAAGTAAATAAATTAGGTATTTAACATTTCAGAAGCGTTTTATTCATTTCCTACAAAGTGCATCATTTCATGTCTGACAACGGAATACATATTCAAACATATCCATCTTTATGCAATAATTTATTATGTAATAACTTATTTCCAAAAAGTTATTTCAATTTCTTCTTTTATGCAGTCACAGCTTGAATTTTACAGATCATTTTTTTCCTTTTCCCTAAAAAATGAAATATTCTTTCAAAACCTTCCTAATGAAACTGGTGCAATTTGTAATGGGTGCATAAAAAATATTTATTCAAATACATAAGAATATTAATAATTCCACAGCCGAATAATGAAAACAACATTCATTTTCAATAACAAATAATTACTTTTCAACAATTCTTTTCCTTGTCAGTGCACTTAATCCAATGGCAAATATTAATCACAAAAGTTGAACATTATACAGTGAAAATTTCTAATCAAAATTCTGCTCATAACAAATTCTCAAACAATGGAATTACTGATCCACCATTGTAAATACAGATAACCAATATCGATTAGACAGAATAATTGTGAATAGTTAGATTTTTTATGAAAATATATCATTCAATCATTTTCATTTTCTGTTATAATTATTTGCTTTATTAACCACAAATTATAAACATTATTTTCTTGACTTTCAAATAATAGAAGCTGTTCATGATTACACCTGCAATTGTCTGTTGTTTTTGATTTTCAAACCAAATTTATAGCAGTAACAATTATTTATCTATTGATTATTTAATGAAAAATGTATGATGATTTTTTTCTGCTTATTATTTTTTAGCCTGGCAGCCATTTGGACCTCCAGACAAAATATGTGGACCTGAGGTTGTCCATGGCATGGGTGGTGTCATTACATCCCCACATTTTCCTGCTCCTTTCCCAGGAAATATCCAGTGTACTTGGCTAATAAAAGTGGAGAGTAAATACAAAATTCTCCTCAACTTTGTATTCCTGGATATCAAAAATACCGGTAAGACATTTATCTATACCTTCAATGATGACTAATATTTTTCTTGTAGAAAATTATAATGTACCAAATTTTACAGATTGCTTTTGAAATATTTTGTTTGTGAGATTTTCTTCTCAGAACTCTTAATGGGGTTAACATGTGTTTTTGCTGCAAAAATCTGAACAGGTAAGATAGTTATGGAAGAGTGGCTTTCCCACACATTTTTTTCTGCAACCTTTGTGACATGCTAGTGATAAGACATGAACAATTAGGAATCCACCATCAATATACTAGCAAAAATAATGGGGAGTCAAGGTTAAACTCTGTTTTTTTTGTTGTTTTTTTTTGTATGTGATGATAAATGAATTTATGACAATTTTTTGAAATATAAAACTCATTTCAAAAGAAATCTCTGGATTGATATTTATCGTAAATTAAGTTTCTGACAAAAATATGTGGTTAATATAAAATTAGACAATATTGAAAAATAGTAATTTTTTTAATAATAATAATTAATAATGACAAATATTAATAAAATATAACTAAATAATAAAAAGTAATATTTAATAATATAAGTAGTAATATATTATTTTTAGAATACACACTAAAAAATAATGTATTATTACTTATATTATTAAATAAAATTACTTTTTATTATTTAGTTATATAATTAAGTAGGTTTGAGCATGCTAGCCTTGTTCAAATTGTTGATCACGCTAGATAACACACTCTCTCCAATAAACTGTAACTAAGGTCTGCTCAGCATAGTTGCAGTATAAACCACAGGTGGGCTCTGTGGATGTTGAGCAAACACAAATATGCCTGAGCAAGTGTCTGCAATAGAGATTGGCTAGCTGCCCTAGTAGACGAGTATCCTCAAATATGAGTGGCCAGCTATTATATATATATGTGTGTGTGTATGACAACAAAATGATAACAATATTAGCAATAAGATTGATGATATTTATTATATATTAGCATTTTCACTAAATTGAATCATGGAGAGTAAGAATTTAACATCAGAATTTTCAGACAAAATTTAATGCCAGAATTTTCAGTCCTTTTTCAAAAAGACAAAGAAGTGGAACTTGAAAATGGACACAGGCATGTCTGAAAATTCCAACTTTAAAACTTTTCACTTTGTGCTTCAATTTAGTCAAAAGGCTGACTAATATATTGAAAATATCAATCTTATTACCAATATTGTTATCATTTTGTTGTCTTTTTATTCCTCAAATTTCATTAACCAGCCTATTAAGTCTATATATTATAAGAAGCACATGTGGACCATCTTTTATTTTAATCATATATAATAATAATAATAATAATGGACTCTCCCGTCGGTTTCAACGTATGAGGATCTGACAACTTATTGATTTAGTTATGAAAGTTTAATCCAATGGCAAATATTAATCACAAAAGTTGAACATTATACAGTGAAAATTTCTAATCAAATTTCTGCTCATAACAAATTCTCAAACAATGGAATTAATTATTGATTAGACAGAATAATTGTGAATAGTTAGTTTTTATGAAAATATATCATTCAATCATTTTTATTTTCTGTGATAATTATTTATTATATATACTATTTATATAATTAATCATATATATATATATATATATATATATATATATATATATATATATATATATATATACACAATTTAATAATAATATATTTTAGAGTACAGTGCTTGTGGGTTATATAAAGTTTGTGCCAACATACCAACAGCTGCCAAACAAAATCCACTAACAATCTAGATCATAGCTTAAACAGATTTTACACCCTAAGGGCCCATAAGCCAACTCAGTCTTTTTTCTTGTTGGCTGCAAAATCAAACAAACCCTCATTTCATCTTGGACAGCTAACAGACACCGCTGAATGATTATCAGCTATTTCTAACACCTGTTGCAATAAACACACACCAATTACACCTGTTCTTTCTTGCTACAATTTGTTAAATGATAATAATTAATTCTTTACTACTAACAAAAGATGTTGTAAAAGTTCCCAGAATTCTTACAAAATAATGCACACTTTTGATGTCCTTTATCTAAAATTAAAACATTTCATAATTGAACAAGTATCTTTGTCTTTGTAGTTTTGATCACAACAACATTTCAGCTGACAAATTCCCCAGACTTCTCTTTTTCTTTTGTGTTGCTGCCTGATTTTTTCATTATAGCAATTACAATAATTTACATATCCTAGTAACTGCTGAAAACACCACACCTACAGCATCTGACGAATTATGAAAATCATCAGAGAAGCAATGAATCTAATCAATACTCACTCTGCCTGCATCTTTCTCTCTCTCGATATATATTTCATTAAAGATGACTGTTGAGGTATTGTTATTAAACTTTTTACTTATTTTTTTTGTATTTGAATAAGTGTTTTCTTTTCTGGACACAGAGTATGTAGAAAATGTTCTGCATTTCCAAGCACTTTCAGCTATACTTTTAGCCATTATGAATGATGATTTTATTTTTTTATTTTTGCTTTTTAACTGGATGTATAAAAAAACACTAACAGAAACACTTGTCACCTTAATTTTAAGAGTGCCCACTCAGATACAAAATAGCAGTGATAAAAAAACTTCCTAAAGACAGCACACGAGAATTCATTTTCTCATCTATTTTTTCTTAAAGAACTCAAAAATACAAAACAGACACTAGTTAACAATGGTTTTCCTAACTACCTCATTGATCACCAGATTAGACTACTTTTCTCCAAAGTAAATAATAATTATACTGAACACACAGACAAAAATAAAATAAATGTTCTCTACAAAAGCCAAATGAATGTCAACAATAAATAAGATAAATCTTCACTTAGAGATATCATAAAGAAATACACTACCCAAACAAAAAAAAATTAAATTATCTATTACAAAAAATTTAAAACAGCTAACTTTATTCTAAAAAATAACAACACTCCTGCAAAATCAAAACTATAAAGAACAAACATTATGAGTTCAGATGCCCTTTAAGGAACTGTGTTCCTGATCAAACTGAACAAATAAATAATTACATCGGTCACACTACTAAATGCCTATCCAGACAATTTACTTAACACCTATCCAACCACAGCTCCATCAGATCCCATTTAAACACACGCACAAAAACTTACCAGACTCCATTTGAAAAATACTAAGAGAAAATACAAGCCATCTCATCCACATGTACAAAAGAACCAACACTGAATCATATATATTAACTTTGAACATGCCCATAATATGCTGTGTTTGGAAAATAAAACATCCCTATAATTCTAAAAACATACACACAATCCATACACCCAATTAAAGAGCAAAAATAAAATCATCCTTGATAATGGCTAAAAGTATAGCCAAAAGTACTCAGAATTACAGGACATTTAGACAGTTTCTACACACACACTAATAATATATATATATATATATATATATATATATATGAAACAGTAGTAATGGTTGTATTTCACCAAAAATAGTCAACTATGGTATTTCTGGAAAATAGTATTTGTAATGATAGTGTTCAATACCAAGATATAGAATATTATTATTATTATTATTATTATTATTATTATTATTTATAATAATAATAATAAAATTAAATGTTCACTTATCTTGACTCTACTTGACTCTACTGTTTTGACAAATTACATTCACTTTTCAAGAGACTTGATTATAAAATTGGATTTTAACATTTTAAAATTGCTGTAATTGCATAAAACTTGGGGTAGAAACAAATGAATATTATATATATATATATATATATATATATATATTGTATTGGGGCAACAGATCATTATTCAAACTTATATTGTTATATATAACAGACAATGAATGTCTAGTATGTTTGATCATGAGCCATTCTAAGCTTCATATAGTGGCTTTAGTTTTGGGAGAAAATTTAAATTTAAGCTTAGATCAAAGAACACCATAATAAGAAAAAATATCCAAATGTTGGACAGTTTTTATCTTTATTTTCTCTCAAAACTAAAGCCACTATACTAAGCTTAGAATGCCCTATGATTAAACATAATAGACATTCATTGTCTGTTATATTTAACAATATATATTTGAAAATATATACATAAAGAGTGAGAAAGATACACATTTACACATCAAAAAATTCACAGCCTAATAATGAAAAAAACATTTATGTTACACAATAAATACTTTTAAGTTATATTAAAATAATCTCCTTCCTTTTCAATTCACTTAATTATTCATACAGATCAAATTAATACAGTGAAAATTTCAGATCCAAATTCAGCTGATAACTATGTGTCAGTCTATAGATCTGTTGATCCATCTTTGTATGCTAATATATATTAGCCATGTCTAATGTAGTATTTAAAACAATATTACTTCTAAAAACCTCATTGTGATGATTTCTTGTAAAATCTTCTCTATTAATAACTTAAGAATATTTATTGCATAAAAATGTTCCAAAAAACTTCAACACATTCACTTTTTCTCTGTTTTATTTTCCCATTTGAATGCTTTTTTGTCAGATCATACCAAAAATATTGGTTCTTGTTTGATCACCAATGTTAAGCAGTGTTGAGCCCAGTCATTACTTAGATGTGGGACGCTGGTGAACAATGAGTACTATAAGCAACCTCCTACAAGTTAGGTTCACCTATCATCTGGTTCACACGTCTTTTCATTTTCTTTCATTCCCAGTAGCTCCTTAACACTTAGTGGCATTATCAACTTGCTTGGGGTGAATTGATAAAAAAAAATACAAAATACATCTCTTCTTTAAATAAGTCATAGAAAACAAATCAATCCCATTTTAAATTTTAATTTAATTTTTATAAAATCTAAATTGTGGTTATTTGAAAAATTTGATACTTTGTAAGTCAAAGTTCTAATAAATTGAGTTTAAAAGTGTAGGTATTAATTTAATGAATTGTTGCTATTTTTAAATTAAAGAATTGAACAAATTACTGATCAATCATTTCTTTTGTCAAATGAATTCCTATCATTATCTGCAGTTATTTTAATGTTGACAAATTATACCTT